CCAAGCAAGGAATTGGAAAGTGATACTTCCTTGAAATCTTGTTTATGGTCTGACCATCAATGCACATTCTCCATGAACCGTCCTTTTTGGGGGTAAATAAAGATGGGACAACACAAGGACTTTTACTTTCACGCACCAAACATTTGCCAAGCACCATTCAACTTGTTTTTTCATTTCAACCCTATGTACTGGTGGCATTGTGTAAACCGGTAGATTGTGTAAAGCTGCTCCTGGTAGTAGATCAATGGCATGTTGAATGCTCCTCATTGATGGCAAACCTTGTGGTAACTCAGCACTGACCAGCTCTTGAAAAAATTTTAAGGGTTGCTGTCGAATGGATAATCATGAAATTCAATCTATTGGGCCCGTTACACTCCTACCTACCAGTGCATAGATAATTCCCAATTCTCTACTCTCCATTTCAAATTTTTGAGTAGTCAAAAGTCATTAACCTTGCTAGCGTTTGGAAAATTGTAGCTTTTTCCTTTAGAGGTTGCAAAGTGAGGTTTTTACTACCTTTCTTGAATATATTGACTTTTGTATAATGGATCATGTCTTTATCATTCAACCACGACCTCCCCAAAAGAATATGACATGCATCCATAGGCACCACATTACACCAAGCTTCATCATCAATATTATTACCAATAGTAAATTTAACCAAACATCAAGAAATAAATGGTACCTCATTTCTTCTGTTCTGGGATTTTAGGAGGAGTAAAAAACTAAGGTTCTTGGGAATTATGTATCGATGATGATTCTTTGGTGTATTTGGGGAGAAAAGAAAGCTAGCGCAGGATAGAATTGTTCCTTGCTTCTTTGTGGACTATATACATGGGAAGTTTCAGAGGGTTGCCTCTAATCAGATATTCAACGGGAGTGGAAAGCAGTAATATTTTAGTTTAACATTTATTTCTATGTGTATTTTTTTTTATTTTGTTTCTTTCTCTCTGGAGGATATTTTATTCTCCATTTGTATCCTATTTCTCTCTCTTAATAATCTTCTTCTTTTATTCGAAACAATAAATAAGGATTTAAATAAAGATCTGGTTGATTTTTAAAACCTAAAGCACCCAGAAAAAAAAAACAAAAAACCGTTGAATTATACTGTTGATCACCTGCACATGCACATTTCATGTGCCTCAAACAAAGACAGTTAAAGTCTACATATAAAGAATTATATTCATTATTTTATTTTTTGTGTTATAAAAATTATACCAATTATATTTGTTCTCCTGTAAACCACCTTTAAAATGCATGGTGCAAGAATTATCTGGACTTTAAAAAATGGAAAATCGAATTTGAAGAAAGGAAGTTAAAGTGTAGTGACTTGATTTTGCTAGCTGGTTAGCACTGCAATACTTAAACAAAAATCCATTGCTGAAAATGATTTTTTTTTTTTTTTGGGTATGGAATTGAAAGCTTGCATTTTAGTACTGTTTTCTCCCGATTTATGTTTTGCTGACGTGTCAGCTTTAATGGATGGCTACAAGGGTGAAATTTGCAGAACATGAGTAACAGATTTTTGTTGTTTTGGAGCATGAATATTTTTGAAAGAATGATCTGAAAAAAATTTGAACTCTAATTTGATTTACCTTTTGGAAACAGAAACTTGAAAAATAACAGGCTTCATGGAGTGATTCCTGAAACATTTAAAGCCTTGACACGCCTCACGGTACTGTAAGTAGTTTTACTACTCTATTTACACAGCTTAGTTTCAAGTAGGTTCTTTGATGATATTCAGAACGCATACATTACCACCAGTATCATCGTCGTCGTCGTCATCTTCATCATCCAACATAGATATCAAGGAGAGAGGAAGGGAAGGAAAGAGTGATGGTATTTACATAACTGCATAAATATGGTGGGAGAGAAGGGATGTTTATGTAATCCCTACTTCTGTTGCTTGTAATATTTTTACACGCTTCTCATTGGGTAATTATGTTGAACAGTGACCTTGGAAATAACTATTTGGAAGGACCCATACCGACTTTCCTTGGTGAATTGAAGTCTTTGCAAAACATGTAAGTTAGCCTGAGACCTTTTTTGCATTAGATTGTATCATGATATGGGTATTTGTGAATGATTGTTACTGATTGCTACATCAACAAGTAAGCTCTCAAAATTGCATAAAGTCACTAGTCTTCAAGGTTAATAGATGTCAACGACTCCATGAGACTAGTTAGAAAGCATCAGTACCGTGAAATTTCTCCAAGATGTAAACTTGAGCAATTAGACTTTTACAATTTTTAGCTTGATGTATGTATTATCATCCTTCCTAATTCACCATTTCTATCTCGGCTGTTTTGGACCTTTTCAGTTTTGTTCAAAGAGAGAAGAGTTACCGTGTTATCCGTTTTACATCAGCTGAGATTGAAATTCGAGATGGCCCCCAAAATACCATTTCCATTTGTACTACTGTTTATAGCCTTTTGAGCATACCTTTTGCATTTCCTTGGAAAAATGGCCTAAAATTGTTGACGATTTACTCTACAACCACATGAAAATCGGGATTTCCAAAATTCCTTTCAAGTATATAACTGGCTTTTTTTTTTTCCATCTCAGAGATCTCTCCAGTAACTGGTTTAACGATTCAATTCCACCTGAATTGGGTGCCCTGCCATCTCTCGAAAGCCTGTGAGTAATCATGTGCTTCTCTCCCCTTTTTCTCTGCCTCTGATGCACGTGTTTCATTTTAAGAACCGAAAAATCTTATAAATGAATACTAACTTTTTTGAGAATGTTTTAGGATCTTATGTAGTAACTTACTGTCAGGCCAGATTCCGGTTCGGTTGGGAAGCATCTCCAGCCTTAAGACATTGTATGATCTCAAGAAAGCTTTCTTAGTTGTATTCTTTTTAATGGTTATTACCATTAATTTTTTTTTTTTCTAATGTAGGAATTTGATGGACAATCTACTCTCTCATAGGCTTCCAGATCAACTTGGAAACCTCAAAAATCTTCAATATTTGTATGTCTTTCCTCCTGTTTGTGTTGTCATTGATAAAAGAAAAGAGACAGATTTTGATTCATTCTTACTTTATTGTAGACCCTGCAAATTTCTCAACTATGGAAAATCTAACTAATGGATTAGTGGTGGAAAACCTCCATTTTCTTGAGTAATAAACAACACAAAACGTTGATTAACTCCATTTAGAAAGTGTTCATGCCATCTACTTGGGCTAAATTCTCCGCATGTATTTCGGTCTACTGATAGCCAGTTCCTGCACTACACCATTCCAGTCACGTCTTTTTAAGCATAATATGCTGTTTGAATGACACCTTTGTATTAGTGAATTATATGATGTTGTTTAAGATGGACACGCAGATTACTTTCTGTCATTCTTTCTTCTGTCGAAGTCACCTCTAACTTTCAGCAGTGCTTTCTTGTTTTATTTTTTGCCTAGCCAACATATAAAAAATGTACTTCCTTTTCATTGGCTTTTCTTAGCAATTGCACATAAGGTTGTGAGAAAAACTCAAAAAGATTCCGAAAATAAAAAAAAATGTTTCAATTGACTCGACTAGAATCATTTATTCATTGTGAACAATCGTAGCTCTGAATAAGTAGCATATTTGAGTGTATATGATGTTGGTTTGTTCTTTCTTGTGAAGCTTCCTGATTGTTTTACCATTTTAATTTAGACTCATTTATCACTTTTGATATAATTCTATTGCCATTTTACTAGGGATCTACATTATTTTCTAACACTTTGTCAAATAAAATGTCTTAGAAAAATCGGGTGAGATGATCCCCACTATATTGTCATATAGGAACATCAGGTTCTACTAATGAGATATCAAGTTCTTTATGAATCTGTTCTTGTGTCATATTCAAATCTGGAAGGAAAGGTAATAGTACACTGGCATGTAGTTTCTAAATGGTTGCAGGGCTGAAGCTATAATTCAGATTTCACCCAAATGGCAAATCCGATATAATATTTCAAATTCTGTCCTAGAATGTCTTCTTCTGTCTAGCCAACTTTGCAATGTGTAGGTCAGTGGTTAAAACGAAACTGGGAATAAAAGGTGGAAATCACTCCTTGGTAACCCCAAATGGATGGAGGAGATCGGAGATGGGAGAAAACTGGGATAAGCTAGTGGTGAAGAGAATTATATGAGCAGTTAGAGTTCCAGAGAAACAGGGTGCAGCTCTTCGTGATCTGTTTTTGCTTGAGAAGAACCCTTTATATTTTTGTAACTATGCACCTGCCACTATGTTCGTGTTAGGGGCAGGTACCCTTGCACATGTGTTTATAGTGGCACTTACCTAAAACCGTTGCTTGCTTTTGCACTGCGAATGTTGCACGTTTGCCATATTACTGGATAGACAATTCCCAAGTTCGAATGATGCCTGTTATGATTAGGTTGAATAGTACCGAGCAAATCATAAAGTACGAGTGCGGTCAAACCTCTCTACTTGCTAATGTTGGCATCCTTGAATGTTTTTATCAACACATGTCCACCGGATCTTACATTATCAACTATACAGTTGAAGTTGTCCTCCATGCCATAATACCAAATTAAGTTTGTAACGAAGAAGAATGCAAAGCATAAGAACCAAATGAGATAGAAAATGGTGGAGATGTTGGGTGTGAAGTATGATTGTTTTGGAATTTGTAGGTTGCACCCTGAGGGTTTGGGGTGGGCACTGAGTTGGGCGGAACTCACCATGTAGTCAAAGCTGTGTGAAGCCATATTTGTATATCTTGTTGCTAGCTGCCGGAAACAGTCGTAACTTTTATATCTCTCTTCTGCCACAATATAATGAATTGGGTGCGTGGTGTGGATGTGCTTCGAGTTTGAGGACACAACATATTTCTCTATGCTCTTGTTTTATTGCCTCTCTACTTTTCTTGTTTGTCATGCTCTGGGTTTGTGGTTGTGCCATGCCCAACAAGACATGTTCTACTGCACCCAATGAAGGTCAAGCAAAAGTTAGTGACTTCATTTTTGTTCTATCGTGCTGTCTAATTAATGCAATCGGTTAGTGATTTCAGATATCTGATGAACAATGAATTCACTGGTGAATTGCCTCCAAGCTTTGAGAAACTGGAGAACTTGCTGATTTTGTAAGTCAGTGTTGATGTACTTATATATGTGCACATGTATAGTACACTGTACACCGCATGTGATTAAGCTTGGAAGAAGGTCCAGACAGGGAAAAAAAAAACACAACAAAGCATGCAAAGACAAACACTAGTTTAAAAAGCACTTAAAAAAAGCCAAAACAAGTATTTAGAAAAAGCGTTGTCAAACAGTACACATCTTTTTTTTAATGCTTGATCTTCCTATGGTAACAATTTCTTACTTTTTTGTTCCCTTTAGTAATATTCGAGGGAACAACTTCAGCGGAAGAGTACCCAATTACATATCCAAGTGGAAGCAACTTCAGAGGCTGTAAGAATCTAGTTGAATGGTTATCAGATTTGAAACATGTGCAACATTGGAAACTTCAAATTATGTTTTGGCAGCTTGCTCATGGGTAACAATTTTAAAGGGCCTTTCCCTCCTACAATCTCAACATTAACAAGTCTTACTCACCTGTAAGTTTTGGCAGCTTCTCATGTGTATATTCTTGGTTATTTTTTTTTTCATTTTATAATATAACCCCTGTGTCTCTTTATTCAGGGCAGTAAATGACTTAAGTGGCCTTTCATTACCAGAAATCTCAGGAATGATCTTTTTGCAACGCTTGTAAGCCTTCGAATGTGAATTTAAAGACTGCTCTTGTTGAGTGATATCTGTAATACGATTTTTTAAATTTGTCAACTATCTTGCTGCTCCAGGACGTTGAGGAATTGCTCACTTGCTCATGAAATTCCTCATTTTATCTGGAATATCTCATCCCTAACACATTTGTAAGATTACTTTTTGAGATACGGCCTTCTAGATTTTTTTCCCAATGTAAATGCATAGGCTTCATCTTTAGTTGCTTCTCTTTACTTATTTTTACCTTTTTGTTTATGCATTTTGGAGGGACTGGGGAGGGAATTCTGTAACACTCCGGTTTCCCAGAATGTTATTTGGTAAACTTATCCAAATTCATATCTAATTATTCAGAGCTCTAAAGTGCTCCAAATACAATTAAATCTCATTATGATTCATTATAAAATTTCAAGTGTCAACAATGATTATTTATTCCCAAAAATTGTAGCAACATTCTGCATCTACAATTCCTCAAATATTGTGATCCCAATCTTTTCTCCAAAATCAATTTGTACCTTGGAGGGCTAAATCGAGGTGAGTAAGATAACTCAGTAATCTAAATTATTCAAAATATGATACAAATACAAGTGATTAACACGATAATAGGACTTCCGAAAATACAATCGAATCACGATCATAGATATTATGACGTATGAGCCAATACAGACCCTCTTACTAACATGAATAGAGACACTTAGCCTGACCTCATCTCACCCATCTTGGCCATTGGCTTGAAGAATCTAGGCCGCCTGTTGGACTATTGGAAATCTCACTCAGTACACACAACAATCAATTTTGTGGTACTTTCACCAGGACAAACTTGATAGTGCCCCTACAACGACAACAGAGGGATCAATAGGCACTGCAGGGTCGCATCCTCAAAACTGTGGCCTCCAAATCTTCAAACCCTAGCTGGTTTCAGGAGCTGTAGCTCTTTGCAGGAATTCTCCATTAAACACTTCAAAAACGACTGACCACTTATATTTATACCAACCCTAAAACTTTTAGAAGAAGCCATCAGAATAGTTTGCACATAAATTCCCAAAAAACTACATAATTCTTAAACATGATCTTTGTTGCAAAACACTCAAACAACCCCCAAAAAAAACCCTCACTTAGGTGTAGCCAAGCAAATCTGGGAATAGAAACTGAAATGACCAATATGCCCTTAACCGAATTTTTTTATCTCCGGCTCGCTAAATACACACATACTTGTTACTATATATACATATACACAAGTTCAGGATATCAAAAGATAGCCCTTGAGCGGTTTCATTTTCTTAAGTCACCAAAACATAAGATCTCTTTTTGGTTTTTCTTTTCTTCTTCTTCTTCTTCTTGTTTTTTTTTGGGTTTTTCATTGGGGGGTGGGGGAGCTGTTGTACATTTCACTCCCATCTTAAGCTCTATCTTCTGCCCTGCCTTAAAAAGCCCTTTGTTAATACCAAGCCATTCTTCAAAGAACACTGGACATTTCGTGACTGACGGTAGGCTTGGCATGATATTAAATGCTACTGCTCTAAATGTTTTCATCCAAAGAATATTTGAGTTCTGATGTATGTCTTACTTGCTACTTGTTTTTCAATACAGGGACTTGAGCTTCAACAGTTTGACTGGTAAAATTCCAGACGCTATCAACCAGACATCCCTAAGATACATGTAAGAAAGTTTACTTTCCAAATGTCTCTTTCGAGTGATTCTCCCTCTTGTGGAGGATTAGTTTGGCAGTCTCATGGAAATGATATCTTGTTGTGTTCTTACTTCTTCATAGCATTGCCAATAAATCTACATGGTTCATTTGTATTATTCAACACAAATGTACAATCCTTTTTCCATTGCTCAAAATTATGTCTTTCAATTGCTCTCATCTATCATCACATCTTTCTAAAGATTAAATAGTAGTTTGTTCATTGCTTGCACTCGAATGGTTCCAGTGTATCATATGCTTAGTCACAATAGTGGATCTAAGATTATCCTCATTATATTTGTCAGATTCCTGAAAGGAAATAAGTTCAATGAATCACTTCCAAAATGGCTGACAAAGTATCGTCATTTGTTTGTGTAAGTGCTTTTATTTTGTTTGCTAAACTAGATGGTGCACATACATACATGAACTATTTTTAATTATCATTTTTTATGTTTAATTTACTTTTTTATCCATGTTACAATTATAAAATTATTTTTTGATTGTATACTTGTACGTCGACGTGGAGGTGTGATAAAATATAAATGACGTGGAGGTGCAACACAAAACAATTATTTCCCTAATATGTACCATATAAAATGATGTTTGTAATATGGTGACCAACTAATGGGCAATCGCTTGATTGTGGAATATCAAACTCTAAATTAGCAAGCAAAGTTTCCTGGAAAACATAAATGAGTTATTGGTAAGATACGTTTGAATCGAATGAAAAATTGGTTCCTAATATGAAAGAAAGCGATAGGCAAGGACTTACATTGGTGGTGCTCCTTTCACATGGAAAGCTCAAGCCCTAAAAAACTGCACATATAACCAAATCTAACAATTCCCAGTTATTAACATCCCAAGTTTGAAGCCATTGAATAGCATACCATAATTTGCGGGCATGAGAACTCCATCCCCAATAATCATGTGAGTCCTAATAACAGCCAGGATAAGGAATATCTTTGAAACACTCTATGCTTCTCCACTGTTGATCTTAAGCTTACGCAATACCATTATTACATGATGCAACTCCATTATTCTTTTACTCAGATAACTCTTCATCAGCTAGTTATTTATTGGGCTAAGTGCTCTCTCAGGCATGCCGGCATACCAATTAATACAAATCCAACGTCCCGCTTCTACAATAAGATAACTTTAAGCACTATGAACACACATTTAAGCTACGGAATTAGAGTTAATGCCCAGAACATAAAAGACATCAATCCATATATTTTTTGCACGGGGGGACTCTAAAAATATTTGAAGTCTCCACATAAGTTCTTCTATATAATAGCTGTGACTTGATGATGGGTCCTATAATACACAGCGCTACATGTCTCACCTTGATTGGATTGACAACAGATGCTTTAAAACACAAACATTGTCACCATAATGTATACCTTCTTCACTTTCATGTGCTTTATAGCTTAAACCTGGAGAAAATGGAAATTAGAGAATCGGTGAAAGAATAAATCGTTGGATCTACATGAGTATTATTCTTTTGTAACTAATTAGAAATATGGAACTGGAAGGGATTAACTTATATATTCATTGAAATCTGTAGATTTATATTCAATGTACATAAAATAAGTATTTTTTAGTTAAAAAATGCTAATAAATACCATTAATAGAATAATTAAAGGATAGCTAATTTTGTACTTAAGCATTTGTTTAAGAGCAAATTAGGAATTTAAAAGTTTTTCATGGATGTTGACATTTTATGTTAGTATAGATTTTATATTTTTTTTGTCATGGTAATTGTTGGTTATTATTATATCCAATTATTATGCTTTGTTTATGTGTACCAATGTACTCGTGTCAACAATTCTGTGGGAGATACTCTTAATCAGGACATCTCTTATAGAATTATGCTTTATGCCTTGACGTTTGTTTTTGAGTCCTATGTGACGTCACTGTACAATGTGTGGGTGATTACTTTTTGTATTTCTGTTTTTTTAATACACTTTACTTTCTGAAAAAAAAAATTATTAGTTTGCATCTTTTAATAGATGGTTTGCCTTTGTCAAATGGAATCGGGTATTTTTGTTGGTGTGGTTGGGTCTTGTAACGTTTTGGTGCTTCAAAAAGTTAATTGGTAAACTTAAAAAAATTTAAATCTAGTTGTACATTTCAGAGCTCTAGTACCTCCTAAAATTAAATATAATGAAATCTCTACTAATTAAATTACCATCTCCAAATACCATTAATTCACAAAAATTATGAATATTCAAAGCTCTCATTTCTTCAATTTTTTCATGACATTTCATATTTGTGAGTTGTGACACAAAGTCCAAATAAATAATACTCAATATTTTGTAGTAACCCTAGTTAAACCTTGATGGAGTGGGATCTATGGGAAAAGGGATCTTTTTTTCATCAATTCCTTAGCAAAACAATCGACAAGCCTTTGTGATTTGAATTTGTTTGATGATGTTCATGATGCCACAGGTAATTTTGTTCATAGAGAAGCTACGTTGGGGCTACTTCTGGTACTGCGGAAAGACTAGAACTCTTAAAATGGTGAAAGGGATTTAATTTCAGATATGAAGGTATAATTTTTAGAGAAAATATCATTATTCTATGAAAGGAAAGGAAACAAAAAGGGTGAGGGAAAAGTGCAAAGAGAAATAAAGGAGTTTTTTGACAAAGAAATTTACAATCGGTGGTCAAAAATGGAGGAAGTTAAAGGTTAGGGGAAGGTGACACTTGTTGATTATGAAGATTATAAGTTGAAATATTAGGGGTTGAGATCAAGCAGAAAGAGAACTTTTTAAAAAAAAGAGTAAAATTCATTTTACCTCCCTTTGGTTTTGTTGTTTAGAACTTCACCGCGTATGGTTCAAATAAAACCAGATAACCCCTTCATGCTTTTGGATTAATATGCTATCTAATCATTTTTGTCCAAATTAATGAGAATTGTTGCACACATGCCTATATGATGAATGGACAGATTAAAATGTTAAGTCAAAATCAAATTTAAATATCAAAAGACAATTATACTTGAAGTGTTTTCCCAAGGTTAAACTTGAGGCTTTACTTGAAGTGGTTTCATATCATTGTCCCATTNAATAGAATAATTAAAGGATAGCTAATTTTGTACTTAAGCATTTGTTTAAGAGCAAATTAGGAATTTAAAAGTTTTTCATGGATGTTGACATTTTATGTTAGTATAGATTTTATATTTTTTTTGTCATGGTAATTGTTGGTTATTATTATATCCAATTATTATGCTTTGTTTATGTGTACCAATGTACTCGTGTCAACAATTCTGTGGGAGATACTCTTAATCAGGACATCTCTTATAGAATTATGCTTTATGCCTTGACGTTTGTTTTTGAGTCCTATGTGACGTCACTGTACAATGTGTGGGTGATTACTTTTTGTATTTCTGTTTTTTTAATACACTTTACTTTCTGAAAAAAAAAATTATTAGTTTGCATCTTTTAATAGATGGTTTGCCTTTGTCAAATGGAATCGGGTATTTTTGTTGGTGTGGTTGGGTCTTGTAACGTTTTGGTGCTTCAAAAAGTTAATTGGTAAACTTAAAAAAATTTAAATCTAGTTGTACATTTCAGAGCTCTAGTACCTCCTAAAATTAAATATAATGAAATCTCTACTAATTAAATTACCATCTCCAAATACCATTAATTCACAAAAATTATGAATATTCAAAGCTCTCATTTCTTCAATTTTTTCATGACATTTCATATTTGTGAGTTGTGACACAAAGTCCAAATAAATAATACTCAATATTTTGTAGTAACCCTAGTTAAACCTTGATGGAGTGGGATCTATGGGAAAAGGGATCTTTTTTTCATCAATTCCTTAGCAAAACAATCGACAAGCCTTTGTGATTTGAATTTGTTTGATGATGTTCATGATGCCACAGGTAATTTTGTTCATAGAGAAGCTACGTTGGGGCTACTTCTGGTACTGCGGAAAGACTAGAACTCTTAAAATGGTGAAAGGGATTTAATTTCAGATATGAAGGTATAATTTTTAGAGAAAATATCATTATTCTATGAAAGGAAAGGAAACAAAAAGGGTGAGGGAAAAGTGCAAAGAGAAATAAAGGAGTTTTTTGACAAAGAAATTTACAATCGGTGGTCAAAAATGGAGGAAGTTAAAGGTTAGGGGAAGGTGACACTTGTTGATTATGAAGATTATAAGTTGAAATATTAGGGGTTGAGATCAAGCAGAAAGAGAACTTTTTAAAAAAAAGAGTAAAATTCATTTTACCTCCCTTTGGTTTTGTTGTTTAGAACTTCACCGCGTATGGTTCAAATAAAACCAGATAACCCCTTCATGCTTTTGGATTAATATGCTATCTAATCATTTTTGTCCAAATTAATGAGAATTGTTGCACACATGCCTATATGATGAATGGACAGATTAAAATGTTAAGTCAAAATCAAATTTAAATATCAAAAGACAATTATACTTGAAGTGTTTTCCCAAGGTTAAACTTGAGGCTTTACTTGAAGTGGTTTCATATCATTGTCCCATTGCAATAGAGATCTCTATTGCTAAATGGTAGTGTTTTTTTAGGTTTGAATATAGGTGATTTGGTCGCCATATACTCGAGGACCAGTTTCGAGATCGGCGGGGTGAGGAGTTTTCAAGGATTGGAAGGATTTATATTAAAATGAAACGAGTTGATAAGTTTTTGGTGCTTTGAGGATTATAAAAAGTTTTGTCTATAATAGAATTGAGGAAACTACTAAGTTGGAAGAAGTTGGAAGACTAGATAATTATTTGAGAAAAAAAATGTGGGGTCTTCAAAATTATTTTGAAGGGCTGATTTTAAAGAGGAAACTAGTTGGAGGCAAAAAAAAAACGAAAGTAAAGTGGAGAAAATCAAATAATTATTTAAATTTTCCTATAGTGGCAAATGGGAGAAAGAATAGGCAAAATCTTCAGTAACTTAGAACTTGAAAATGGTGTGTTTGTAGAAGATGAGGAAAACATTGAGAATG